GGTCAGGCAGGCGGCGGGTCGGTGATTCTCTCGTTCCCGGGGGCTGTTGCAGGAGGACCTGGAGAACGGCGAGGACGTGGCCACCTGCCCCAGCTGCTCCCTGATCCTGCGCGTTATTTACGACCAGGTGGGTGCGGGGGCAGGGCTGTCGGGCACGGTTGCGGCCTTCTTACCCCGGGTCGAGTTTCGGTTTGTCATCCCTTGAGGAAGGCGCGGTGGCAGCTTTTGAAAGTCCCTGGTAAACATGGGATAGGGTTGTGTGAGCCAGTGGCTCTTTTGTTTGTGTCTGGCTCCTGCCTCATCTCTTGTTTTTCTGGTCTCCTACTGCTGCCGTGTTTGGGGTTTAAAACGTGCCTGCTTATGTGAGCATGGGGTGGACCACAAACAAAACAGTATCTGTGGTGTTAAGATCTATCTGTGACTCTGGCAGCCCCATCAGCTAGCCTAGCAGTTTTTCTTATCTAGTAGATACGTTATGGTTTTCATGTTTTGGGGGACAGATTCATACCAGCTATACCCAGGCTAGAATACAAAATGGTTATCTGGTGTTTTTTAAGCGAGAGGAGATCCAAAAATAATGAAAATAAACTAAAACTCTACTTGCTGTCTTTAGGAACAGTTCATGCGTGATGAAGTCATTGCAGAACCTTTGACAAACAAGGAATTGATTAAATGCTGATGAATACATCCTGAACCGTTGCTGCTTTAGAATATGAAAGTATGGGGATGGCAACTGTGGAAAGAGACACGGTCCTCTTCCTGGAAGTACTCACCTTTGTGAGAGACAAGTGCAATAACTGACTGTCTTCATAATTGGAATGCAAATTTGCTGGGACATCAAAACATGCATGGGTTTTATTCAAAAGGTTTATACATTTAAAAAATTATATAAGTTGCCATATGTATTCCCGAAGACTTGAGTATGATCTTGATTAGGAAGTCAATATACAGAAGAAGCGTGCGGAGCTATGAAATGAAAATGTTTATATAGCAATGGCTTCTTAGCCTGTGGAGAAAAGCAGGCAATGTGTGGGCCTGTATCAGTGTGAAATGGCATAGGGAGCTGAAATGTTGAGAGACAAAATTTAGAAGTCCATGTGACGTGATGCCACACAGAATTACAGCTTTGAGACAGTGTGGTGTCACCCAGGATGTGGGCTCACGTACTTCCAGCCCATACTGAATACAAAGAAAAATTGGAGACCCAGAACCAACGCTGTAGGTAAATTGTTTTTACTACTGTAAGCACAAAGAAGCTGCAGTCGTATTTATATCTGCAGTGGATGCAACACCTGAGTTGGGGCAACTTTGTTTCTTAAATTGCAGTTGCTTTGAAACAGCTTTGGTAGCTGTTAATAATATTATCTGACATAATAATGATGTACTTTTGTGGGTGTTGTGTGAAATGAAACAAAATGAGTCCAACTTTTTTTACCCTCCCCCAACTAGTAATGTGCAAATGGAATTGAACTCGCAGTGGATTGTAGTTTACCCACATTTTCTCAACAACTTTGTGATTTGACTGTTGCAGCAGATATAAAATGGGCTGCAGTTCTTTGTGCCATTTGTAGTAGTACATTTGCTGAATTTCTGAGTCTTCCTTTGTTATTTTCTATCATTTCCTGGATAGGAGTTGCACACGTTTCACATAATTAATAAAAAGGAATTTTTTAGGATAGAAAAGAATTGGAAGAACATACAAGTACATTGATTCCGAGACTACTTCTTGTATTACAAGCCACTGTATTTAAATATTTATGTAAAATTGTGGCCATTCATGGGCGTTAGTAGGATTTGACATCTGTGAAGTTAAATTTAGGGAAGAATACTGGGGCAGCATTTATATAGCTGTTTTGCTCTAGGCACTAAAGATAAGCAAGTCTTACTGAGTTCTTGCATTTAACTATTTTTGTTCTTACAACGTTCTGTGAATGTTGAAGATGAATATTCTAATTCTTAAAAAAAAAAAAAGGGAAAAAAAAGGAAAAAACTTCACCCTTCAGTTAGAAGTTTTGAGTGCAGTATGCACAACCCTAAGTGTTTTCATGCTTAAACCAGAAGGTGGCACTCATGTTACTTCTTACTGTGCTTCAATGAAAAAAACGCTGTGGTACTTTGGTTAGCTATATCTTGTCAAATATTTATTTTGACTATTTAAATAAAGATATTTAAAACTGCACCAGTGGTTATAATGGGCCATTGCTTATTTTGTTTGTGCACCAGCCACAATGACTTCAGAGGTGTTGAGTTGCTGCTGCTGCTGTGGTGATGATACTGGAATTTCTTCACGTTAGGTAATAAAAAGTTTCAGTCTATCAGTAGATGCTATAAAGCAATTTTAGAGGAACCCTATTTAAATTCCTGTTGAAATTTCTACTGCATAAATACCTTAAGGAGTTTTCCGCAAGTCTTCTACAGGAATCTAAGTAGAGTAAGTTTCAAGCAGAACACCAGGGAATGTATACTTGGAAATAATTGCATCAAAGTAAATTGCCAGGTGTAGCATCTCTAAAGGTACATACGATTTTACAGAAGTAATTTTATCATATTTCATTCTATAATGAAGGTAAGGCACTGTTAGAAAGACTTCTATGAAACTGGTGTAGAAAATTATTTATACTCTGTATGGTTGTAAGCAGTGTTTATCAATTGAATTTTTGGCATGTGCTAATACAAGTTTTGAAGTGATTCTCTGTAGTGTTCCCCACTCATCTAAAGTACAGGTAATGGCTTTTTTAACAGTAACTTTCGCAAATTTAATTACTTTAGTACATCACTTTGGGACTGTCAGTGCTTAAGGTTTCATGATAAGCATATTCTTACCAAATATGAATAGGATCCAAGTTGTATAGTGTAATTTATATGCATGCTAAATATATTTGCTTACATAGTATATATCAAAGCTTTAATGAAGTACGCGTTACGTGCTTTTCTGGAGCTTTTTTACAGCATAACGGCAGTCAAGTGTTGTGGCTGACCTTGTTAGAAAAGCAGGTGGCCACTTTTGTCCACACAAATTGCTTTCAACTCAGTCTCATTGCAGTCCCTTGAGGATCTCAAGCCACTAGTTGCTGTCCCCCCAAAAAGGAGACAAAACAAGGATGGATGTCATGTACCTCTCGTGTTGCCTTTTGGCAATCAGAGAGAGGTGCTTAAAAACCATTGCTGCTTTGTTGCGTTCCCTTCTGCTCTGCAGAGAGGAGCGGAGTTCTGTAGCAACTGAGTTCATCCAAACAGCTGCCTACTTTTGTGTTTTGTTAACAGTGACTGCAGACAGCTTTTTAAAGTTCTTCCGTACTGTGTAATTCCAAAACACAAGTCAGGGCAATCTGAGTAACCCATCATAAATGTTCCTCTTCCACAATTCAGTCACGAGGTTTCTTCACAGCACCGCAGGCTCTGGGGCAGCATGCAGGCCCCTTACGCATTACTTGTGTATTACATATTCTTAGAAACCAATGGTGCACTTCTCTTCTAAAAAGGCCATTGTGTAGAACACAAAGAAGTCTTTTGCTTGCTGTTTGTATCTGACCAGCAGATTGATTGATAATGTATTTGATTAGGTCCTTGACACTGCACAGAGGAGTCCAGTGTGATGAAAACAGCATTGCGTGAACATTAATGGAGCAAGTCCTATTTACTAGAGATTAGAGAGGGTGGAACAAGATCAACATCAGATATTCAGGCTCTGAAATTACTAACACTGTTGACGCTGTTAAACACCACCAATCTCCCATGTAATATTGAAAACAAGCAATACACTCTGTTGCCACAGTTTTATGGGAAGAAGTGGAAGATAATTTGCTCTTCATTAAACTAAAGAGGCTCAGCTTCTCCGGGCGGTCAGATTCTTGTTTGCTTTTCAAAGAAGCTTGCTGAGAGGGTCATGTACTTTTGACTCCTTGTGCCCGTATATCAGTGGCATACATGATTAGTTTTGAATAGTTGCTCCAGAAGTCCATGACAGAGACCTTGGACCTCTAAGAGCTGAGGTCATTAGGCCACCAATTTCAGTCATTGCATTTGTTCCATTTGTCTATGTTGGGGAAGTCATAATGTCCCTAAGGACCCTTATGTAAATACCTTGGCATTTCTTCCCTCCATCACAATTTTTAACTTTAATTAATTAATTTGATTTTGTTCTAACTTTATTTTTAACTTTAATTCTCAGCACCAGTCAAAAAAATTACCTTGTTTGCAGAACATCAGTTTAATGAAGAACATTACCTAGATTACCAAGTCTATCTACCAAGAAGCAGATGCTGATTAATTTCAAATAAACCTTCAAAATTTCTGTTAAGGATGTGCACTGACAACTATGTATTGCCACTAAGAAAAACAATTTCCACATACCCCGTTTCCTTCTCTATTCCAGTTTAACGTTCAGGTCAGGTTAACTGTAGGGGTAGGTATTTGTTACACTGAAAACTTCCTGAAATGTTTCTACAAACAGGATTTATCAAGATATTTAGCATAGTAACAAATGTTTGCCATGATTTTCTCTTAGCACAGTTCCTTGCGGATTGCTTTCTCTTCATATTTAATTAGGACATAGCTTTGATTTTGCTTCATGGTAACTTAAAATGCTAATTTCATTATGTCTCACCACAGTAGCTGTGGAAACAGGGAGGATCCAGAGGATCCGGTGTAACTGTGAAGGTGCTGGGCTCATCAGCCCTGAAACTGGTGGAACCTTCTGAGTGACAGAGGCAACAAGTGAGAGAAGCTGTGCCAAGCTGGAAAACAGCTGTCACAATGTCATCGGCTCTCCAGGAGGAAGTGGGTCAAAAGGGACTAACCAAGAGGGTATATGCTTAAGCGACCTGTCATCACTCCTCCCACCCCTTGCCGTCACTGTTACGATCTGTTTGCATACCAGGTGGTCACCTCTCCAAAATTCTTGGCAGCTCACCAGTCCAGCACAGGCTTCCCGTCATGTCGTGGAAAATCGTTGCTGTGCCATTTGCCCTGCTGCCGAGCACAGCCAGCCGAGAGGAGCTCGCTCCGAAGGGCGGGTGGTGGGTGAAGGTCAGCAGTGGAGCTGCCCCATCCGGCAGTGCCATCGTCCAGCCGGGCAGGCGGTCACCAGAGCTACTGTGAGAATTCTCTCTCTAAAACAACCCAACTGAACAACAAACTGGTATTTTCTGCATTAGGTTATGTGCTGCAGTGCGCAAATCCAGCCCTTTAACCAGATCAAGCAGAAAGTGGAGCCCTTGGAGGGTTCTTTAAGCTCTGCCTGTATGGAGGGGTTTTTTTCAGCCAAAAGATCAATCGCGGTGTCCACCAGTATGGTCTCAGGCAGGAACATTGCTCTGCTCTTCCAATGCCCACCCTCCTTCTTGGCGTTCTTTGTCTTTCCTCTCCTTAGAGGAGGGAGGAGCTCTGCCAGTAGGTGGTGATCGAAGGGAATAATTCAAAATGTGTGTGATACTGGTGTTGGCAGCTGTGTAATCGAGAAATAAACTTTTGGGACCCTCAAATAACAGGTCATTGTGAAATGTTTCTGAAGGAAGCAACTAGACTAACTCGTGAGTATTATGATGTTATACCTGCTCTCTTGCTTCTAGTGGAAAAGTAATTTAATTTGCATTCATGGTCTAGTAATTAATTAATGAATATTTGCCCTGTATATATTGTTAAGTAAGCATCTTTTCTTTTTACTCTTTTCCATATATTCAGTTGTGTGATTAATACAGGGTAACTTTCAGCATCCCATTTTCTTCTCAGAGTCAATTCCCTGACAGATTTTCGGTCAGCTCATTGATGTTGCTGAAACGAAGCTTTCAAAACTTACGAGTTGGGCACCTGAAGATCCTAAGTTTGTCTTAAAATTGTAGTATTAAGGAAGTATTTAAAATTTATTCTTTCATATTGAAGCTTTTGGGGAATCATATTTTCATTTTGCTACCAAGATTCACTTTTTTGTTTTGTGGTGGTCATTTTTTATTTTTGAGCCAAAGCTAAGATCCTTATTGTGCTGTTTGAGCGCCGAAGCTGTTGCTGTAAGGAAAGATCCAACTATCACAAGATTCAGGAGCTGGAAATACACTGACCCATAAGTCACTACTTCAGTGCCCTGCATGGCAAATACTTTTACTTTGGTTTCTGTATTAGTCCTTCTGGGCAAGTCAGCAAACAACTTTTTGGCGTGTTCCTTATTTCAAGTACAAGGTATTCCAGTCCATCAGGACATGAAACAGCTGCAGCGTTTCTGAGCATGATCTTTTGTGTGTAGTCCTCCAGCGCTTACACAAAATATAAGTTTCTGGTATAATCTTAGGAAGAATAACTATTTTGCACTCCCTAGGAAAAAATTACATTTTTCAAGGGAGGTTTTTTCTTGTTGTTTTGGTTTCTTTTAATACATTGAAATAGATACTGCTTAACAGTTCTCATTTCTGCGTATCTCTGATCATAGGCCTGTTGCTGCTTCTTTCTGTGGAAATTGTGTACCTATGCAAAGCCAATGCAAACATCTGGCATTTATTTTATCTTTCAGATAATATCAAGACTGGTGAGCTCCAACTGAGCTTTGTATACTGCAACATAAATTTAACATTTTGTACCACTCCATAGCAGAGATGGAACTGATTTTGTACCTTGTGAAAGATATTAAGATTAACGTTTCATTTAATTAAATATAGAAAACAGTAGATAAAATATGAACCCTAAATTATCATACCTTTCCTCTCATTATGGTAGAAGACTTTAGACTTCTTACATTATGCGGAGGCTTCTGTGACCCCTGGTGCCCTCCACAGGTATTACCACATTGGTGGATTCTGGCATACATCCCTTAGCTTGAATAGGAGAACCAGACTTTGAATTCAGATATGAAAACAGTCCAGAGGCAGAGATACAAACAAACCACCTCTCAAGAGTGCCATTTCAGAGCCAGTAAAGAAAGCTTCTGTCCTAGGGGTTGAGATAAACTGTGACAGCAAAACAGGCAGGTGCATCAGAACAGAGAGAGAACTGGCTGTCCCAGGGCAGACCAAAGGTCTCCTTAGTCCCGTCCCAACCCCAGCGCTGCCCTGCAGCTAATGACGAGTCGAATAATAACTAGGGCGAGCACTTAGGAGTGCTTCTGTAGGAAACCCTGCCGCACAATTTGTAAGTCATGGACTTCTTGAGTCTGATGCATTTGTGTTTAGTAGCATGAATAAATATATATTTCCATTAATTTTTTGAATCCACATCGCAACTTAAAATCCACTGCATCCCGTGGAAAGGAATTATACATTTTAAGTACACTTTGTGAAGAGAGACATCTCTTTCTGTTTGTTTTGAACCTGTTGCTCCCTAGCTCAATTGAAGACACTTTTTGGATAGGAAGAGACAATTCCCTGTTCTCTCTTCTCTGTCTTACTGATGATCACTACATTTTTTTTCTTATTTCTCCTCAGTTACTTCTTATTCCAGCCTGTAAAGTCCTTGGCTAATCAGCCACTCTCCACACAGGAGCTGCTTCATACCTCTGTTGGCCTTCTCCGAACCTTGCCCAGCTGTCCTGCGCCGTTTTTGAGAGGGAGGGAGATTTTCAATTCTAGATGCAGGTGCATCGTGCGCACATTGGCATAAGGGTATTTGATCTCTGTTCGGTTCTCTATTTTCTGAAAATTCTTTACATTTGTTGTGCTTTTTTGATATTGAGCACTAGGCTGACATTGTCTTAGAGATAACGTTTAATTAAGGAAACGGCCTTTTGAATCTAAGCCTCAGAGTAACCATGTCTTTCTCCTACTTGCACTTGCTCGTGGCTGAGGTGTCTTTTAGAAGAAGACAAGGTGATCTGAGTCAGATGTCATCAGCTCAGGCAGTCTGTCTGCTAGTTCCTCCCAGTTGGGGTACTTGTTTTACCACAACCTCCTCATGATGAAGGTGTGCCAGCTCCATGCATTCTGGTAGGACTGCCCCAGACTAGTTAACAAGGCTCCTCTCCTCCCATCATTTAGCTGGCTTCATTTGTTTTGTTTTGTAATTTGTTACTTCCCTTCCATGTTCTTTTTAATTAGCCACCTTGCACTTCTTACGTGGCTTCATCTCTTCTTTCAAAGATGCATCTGTGTGCCTCTTGTATTTCTTTGTCTTTGCTACAGTGGCTTTCCTGATGGGTATCTGAGTTTTCCAGGCAGTGGAGCCTTTGTCTGGAGTTGGTGGTGTGTTTCAATGTGAGATTTCTTTTAAATTTGAATACACTGTATTTACTTTTCTAAAAGGAGCATGGATACTTCCCAAGATGCACATAGAAAATAGTGCCGTTTTTGAAAGGGCAAAGAAGATTTGTTTTTCATTCAAATCTGCTATTTCCTTATAACTTTATTTTCTAATACTGGCCTGGGGGAAAAAAAAAAGAAAAAGTCTTATCCTGAATAAATCATGAGTGATGAATGTGATAGAGTGAAGAATTCTTGCTTTTCCTTTTGAACAAGGGGTTAATTGTAACTCACAGTCTCTCTCCTCTTGCAGAACTACTCAAGATAAAGCTATTTCTTGGAAGAATACCCTTAGGAAGTTAGTGACCTAGAATGAGCTTGGCATAGAATTGCCTTTTAGCCTTTAGCTGCTGCTTCAATCTCCATACACAAATGGGTTTTGACGGGCTTTGCAAACAGCCTGGGGTCAGGGCCTGCAAGATCTCCTTGGGCAAGTAAAAGCTGTGGAGTCGGGAACTTAATCCGTTTCCTGTAGAGCCAAACAGCAAAATTCCCAAACCCTGGGATGCTGCACAGTGGGACACTGATGGGCAAATGCAACCCCTCATTGTAGGACTGTGAAAGGGAGATGGCAAGCAGCAAAACGTACTCCCTGCCGGGGATGGTTCATGAGGTACAAGCACTGCTGTTAACTGGAACCAAGGCTGTATTTTTAATACCCCTTGACATAAGGCCCAAGGGAGAGCAGGTGATGGCACACCGAGCTGGCATCCTGCCTTGGGCACGAAAATATGTTTCTGCGGCCCCTACATCTCCGCTGCAAGCTGCTTAGTAATCTAGAGGTGAGATTTTGCTGTGGAAGCAAGGCTGAGTGGGAACCCAACCCTTTCCTATGCAGATTTCCTCTATACGCACACCGAGAGCGCATGGGAGTGGGGCAGTTTGGGGGGATGCACTCGTACAGGGCCCACCTCCTCCTGCTTATGAGAAGGAGGATTTTTCCCCGGCTCCACCTGTTTGTTCCAGGCACTAATCTCAGAGTTTGTTTCTTGCTTGGTAAACCTAGCAAGGTTAGGGCTGTGTGGTTATCCCCCGTGCATACAGCAAGTGAGGGATGATGTATAGAAGATACGCACTGGAAGAATTTAATCTAGTCCCTAGAAAACACTCTGATCCTTGCCAATCCTCCCCCCCTCCCCGGCCCTCGATAGTTTTTTCAAGTCTGGGATTTTCATAACTGAAGGAGAATTCAAATAAATCAGCAACTGGAGAAAACGCCAAACAACCGCAGTCAAAAATCTTTCTCAGACTTTTAAACTAATAGATCCCCTCCCCCCACCCCCTTCTCAAGATATTACGCCTAACGGGATTTGATTGAGCTTTCTCAGCCAGGGAATTTCTGTCAGTACCTTTGCCAAACGCAGAGTCTCGGGGAAGGGAGGATTTGCTAACGATCCAGGTTAAGGCAGCCTCTTCATTCAGAGACAGGGACTGCCAGCCCCGCACAGGCTGCAGCGCGGCCACCCAAATGTCGAGTTTCCATTGAGGAAGGCCAAGTTCCCCACACTCTTTTTATTTTTGCAACCCTAGCAGGGCCGTGTCCTTGGTTTCTTTCCATGCCAAATAAAGCGTCTGCACATTTTGTCTCGTTCGTTTTTGTAGGGTTGAGGCGTTTATACCACGAGCACCTGCAAAAATAGAGATCTGAAGAAAGAGAGTTCGTTTCTGACAGGTTAATCAACCTGAGGAGTAAGAAATTATGGTGCTAGATCTGTAAACACACTTGCAGGTTGCTTTGCAAGGACAGCTCGTGAAGATTAACCTGGCTGGGGATACTGGGAGCCCGAGGCACACAGCTAATATCAAATGCTCCGAGGCAGATCCTGCCATCCAGCACAGCTGCCTAAATCTGGAGTAACTCAGGCTGCTGCGGGGATGTTACTTCAGATCCACTTCACCCCACAGAAGGGCAGAATTTAAATGAATTACTCATGAACAGAGAATAAAGGACATGTGCAGTAAATAATAAATTTCTGGGGTTTCTGCCCTTCATGACTGTCTCTCATAAATATTTCAGGCTCAATTGCTGCTTCACCACGTCAGCCGAAAGATCAGACTGGGCGAGTGCATTTCGGTGTCATTCACGTCTGAGGCTGTTATGGATCAGGGTGAGGCAGAACTACAGACAAACCCCTGATTTCTAAGATCGTGACACTGTCCTGACCAGTACTGTATTTGAGGTGCCATGGGGAACATTCTGTGACTGCTCGTGATCAGCTCCTGCTCCTGTTTTGTTTTTTCTTTATCTTTTGCTGAACTGAAAAATAGGGAGAAGAGAGGGGAAGCAATTTTAAATGCATAAAAATCAGTTTGGTCCAAAAGTGTTAATTGAAACACATTTACAAATTTCAGCATTTATGAAATGAATAATTTCATTCTGAAGAAGTCAATATAAAATATCACACTATTTCTAACCCTGCAGAATCCTTCTGTGCAGGCTGGCACTTGACATCAATCGGTGAGTAGTTTTGATTCCCTCAAAACTTAATTTTTCAGGGGACTTTACTCAGGGAGTAATGAGTCTGACTTCTCTTTTTTGTACGATACTGCTAGATTCATTCTATTCACTTATTTTATTCGGCAGCTGTACAATCTCTATTACAATACCCTCTGGATGTAATTAGAAGCATCCTCAATTGCCTTAAATTGCTTCATGAGGTCAGGCTGTCGGCCCCACCATGGGGTGGACCCGAACACACCCCTGCTGTGTTCCACATGCTCTTGGTGCTCCTGACAGGTTCTGCAGCACCAACTGAGGAGCAAAATGCCTTAGGGAGATTTGGAGAGCTACACCCATGCCTGGAGGCACAGTGATTGTTAAGAAATGTCCTTTTCAGAAAACCTGAAACTACTCAGTTTTAATATTCTGCTTTCTTACCGAGTTGACTGTCATATTTTAAACCTGTCAAATGTGTTTTATCAATGTAAAATACTGTTTACTTTTGCTCATTCTTGCACTATCCAGATCTTTACCACGCAGACTCTTTCCGGTATTTTCCCCCAGATGCAGCATACCATAATTCATTGCTCATGACTGCCAAGAAATGACAATTCCAAGACTGTCCATAGTTCACAATATAGTTATTTTACTGGTGGAATGCTATCATTTTTTTCATTATAGCCAGTCCAGCAGAAAGCAACCAGAAAGCTAAGCGAGACGAGCCTCTCAAATAGGCCAGGGAGGAAACCTCAAGTATAGATTTGTGCGTATTTCTGACGTGTCCAGCCAGAAAAAGAGAAATCTTGGTCTCAGTAAAACAAATGACCACCTGCACATTCTCACAGTCTGAGAAGTAAACTCCTCTGTCCTGCCACTTCTCCTGCTGTTGTTTGCTCTCCTGTGTTTTCCATTAGGATTGTCTTTCTACTGCCAAAACCAAGAAAAAAGGAAACGGCTCTCCTGTGTTCTTCCTGCATGTAGACTTAGTCCACATCTAGGGGCTTTATTCACTTTACTATTTATTTTGCAGGTGTGTTTTAAACATTTTTAATCATATAATTGCACTGATGAGACCTAGTATAGGAGGATGTATAAATAGCTCTTGCCCTTTCTGCAGCTTAATATTCTCCCTAGTTCAGAGGAGGAAATCGCTGACCTGGCAGAACTAGATCCACACAGGGTGGGGAGGTTTTAATGGTACCGGCACAGCTGGAATGATGCGGCTAAGGGCTACAGACAAAAAAAATGACAGGTTTTTGTTGACAAGGGCCAAAAATGCAGGTTATCTGGAGGGATGGAGTTCCATGGCCGGCTGTACGTTTCCAATATTCATCATGCCAAAAGTATTCCTCGTGAGAAACAGAAACTTAGGGGTTAAACTTTTCATCTACAGAGTCACCTTGAAACCCCATAATGAAATATCAATAATGGTGGATACCTGTTTGCTAAAAAGATTACTGACAGGCATATAATAACAATCATCAGCAGCTATAAATGTATTTTATGTCTTGGATATTTTCCTGGCAGACTTTCATTGAGTTATGCAGTAGCAGGCCTGGATTTGGACAACTTGTGCTCAAAAGAGTAGTAGGATGTTTTTTTGGGGTGCCAGAGGGGAGAAAGGATAGCTTTTTTTAAAATCAGCGTACCATAATTTTCCTTGGTTAGCAAAAAAGCATACTTCCCTCCACAAACAGAGAGCTCCATTTCAGTTTATTCTTTTGCAGTATCCTGGATAAGAAGGAAAAAGATGAGATACCTCTGCCTGGAGAAAATCCAGAATGTTAATTAAAGAAATGGCATTATGACATTTCATTCCTTACTGGCTGGAGTTCATGGCCACACTGGTATTTCATGTCTTACTTTCATGTTAAGAGCTTTCCAAGATGATCTTCTCTACAAATACCATTTTTTCTGCCACTAGAGGTCCTAAAAATAATAAGGCAAGGAGGCCCAACGTACCCGTGTATTTGACACCAGAGCATTCTCACAAGGTGGACCTGAGTGCCAGGTCACCAGAACTCCCAGTGGGTTGGCTGACAGCACAGGTTAGCACTTGGCAGACTGGAGGAACAGCATCTGACTGTCGGACACAAGAGATTAGCTTTCCCTCCAATCCAGAGAGATTTTCATGCATTCCTACTGTGTCCCAGAGGAGTGGGAGGGAGGCTTTTCTTGCGCTTGGGCGATGCTCAGGTAATTTGTCATGCCACCCAAGTTAGAGCAGGGAGGATTGAGTTGTGGAGGAAGGCTCAGGCTGCTCAAATCTACCTGACAAGTGAAGTGCTAGGGGAAAGCAAGAGTGAATCAAATGCAGCAGGACAGCTACTACCAGCTGAAACTGCTTCGAGGACTTGGTTCTGGGTCCTTAATCCCCAGCCTCCTGCTTCCTCCTTTCCCCTCCAGAGCTTGCTTTTGCAGGTGGGGAGAGATGAAAATCACCCCAGGTGCCGGGGACAGCAAAGAGAGAGCAAATGGCCCCATGCATGAAAATGCAGAGAAAAAGCTTTCCCTGCCAGGTGTTCCAGCAGGAGCCAGTATTTGCAACACAAACCCGAGGCTGCTGATATCGTTGTAGCCCTGTCGGGTTGTTCTACAGTGCTCCAGTGCTGTAAAAAGGAATGGATGGATGTACTTGGGAATCGAAATTAAATTCAGCTTTTCCTGTTTGCCACTTTATTCTTTCCCTCTGATAAAAACTGAACATTGATTTTCCTCTTTCTGCTGAGTCTGCAGTCTTTGCTAGCATGTAATTGTTATAAACACTTCCACTGGAGCTGGCAGAGAAAATTCCAGCAAAACAATTTTTATCAAAATTTGCCAGCTTGTTGAAAGCAAGACATCCCAGAGGAAAACGTTCTTTCTTACGATGGGATGACAAGGAAGCAGAACCGGGCACCTTGCCATGGGCAGCCCGGCCTGGGGACCTCTGTCATCATGCCTCCGCTGAGAATCCCAGCTCTGTTTCAGAGAGCAAAGGAAACACGGGGTTTTGTTCCCCACTGAAAGCAAACTGAACTCAGAAACCTTGGACATTTTGCGAAATGGAGTTACCGCTCTCTGCCAAGCCTGAGCATCATGTTACAATGTCTAATGTTGAATTAAAATGTACAAAGCCTATATTTTTCAGAAAAGATGGGTATTTTCTTGTAATTAGCAAATTATGGTCTCATTGTACTTGTTTTGCTTATCATGTTATTTTTCAGTGTCAAGACCTATTTTGTTTCACCCTTCCCCGTCATCAACGATTTAAGGGTTGTTCTTGGCGCTAGGGAATCTTAAGAGTGCTGTCACGGGCTGCACGCAGGAGGCTGTTCCAACAGCAGGAACTGGAGCCGAAACCGCTCATTGTTTATGTAAAACTAAAACTTATTTCCTTAGCATCAGCACCAGGCTCCGTTCCTGAGGTTGTACGTGTGCAGACCCCACAGGCTGACCGCGGTTTGTTTACTTTGCTTCTGCCAATAAAGGAATCAACGGTAAACTGCCCCGAAGAAGCAGCTCTTGCCACCGCCTGGGAGCATGCTACGGCAGCTGGTGATCCATCAGCTGAACTGCGGGAACTCAGGAAGCGTTCGTTGCTTGGTCAGACTAAGCGGTCTTTTCAGGCTCCATGATTTGTTGACTGATTTGTAAGTTAAAACAGCTCTTGGCACCAGAGATGATGAGTTTTTGATGGATACGACACATACACAAATTAGATAAGAAGACAAAAAGCCAGTGTTTTAGGTAGACAGCTTGGCCAAGGAGAATTTTACTGCAAGGCTTATTTTTAATTGACATGATGAGTTTTATGCATCTGCCCACTTGAAGTATTCCGATTATGAAACTGTCTCTTTGTTCGCTGCTTGGCTGTTGATTTCTAAGCGGGCAAAGCAGGCAGTATGTGCTAATAAAAAGGACAGAAAAAAGAGGAAGACGCTAATGCAGTGAATTATCTTCTCCATAGGACTGTTTGGCATTAAACATTTTGATCTGGCTACAGCTTTTGACCACTTTTGGTTTGTTCAGTAATCCCAAACCATACGTATAAAGAGTGATTGACAGAATACACTGTGTTTGAAGCAGCCTCCCAATGGCTTGTACTCAGATATAAATATCTGATCTTCTAAATCTTGAGAGATGAAATTCTGATGCATCAAAGTACCAGTTGATTTTCTTTCATATCTGTGATTAAATTTTTCATGTAAATGTCACATTAAATGATGAAAAAGAGACTGTAAAAAACCCCAGTTTCCACCTAATAGGATAGTAAGAAGTTCAGAAAAAATACTGTGACAAACATAATACCAAAGGATGTAATCCTTTAAAGCTCATTTATGCCTATAACAATATAAGTGACATTATTATATTACTTTTTTATCAGACTGTAAGACTGAAAGACTAATAAATATACAGCAAAGAATGGAGATTTGTGGTAGCAGTCTTTTGAATAATTGCACAAAATAGTTTCGATTATTTTAAAAAAATAATGTAATGTGTATTTTAAAAAATGGACTGTTTTCACCATCTTCTCAATTTGTAACACAAAATTACCATTAGTGTAAATAAACATGATACTACTGCCAAAGGTCGTGGACTTTAACAAAGGTCATTGTTAGAAACTTAGAAACTAAATAATGTATTCAGCCTTTAGTCTGGTCTGTGTGTAACTTAGGTTCAAGCTAAAAGGAACCTTGGTAACAATCCTGACACCTGTATTTCTTCTGTGTCATGAAAATTCTGCTGTAACTTTCTATCCTACTCAGCAGGAAGATATAGAAGATTTATCATTAATGTTAGAGTTAACATCTTCAAAATATTACAGAGACTTTTCTGAAAATTTGAATTCTTATTCCATTGGGACCAGATCATGCTGTAACACAGCATCCTACGCAGTGGGGCCTCGCAGTTTGTGAACAAAGCAGCTATCTTGAAAAAAAAGGTGCTGTTGGATGTAAGCTTATTTGAGGAAACTGCAGATAGTAGCCAGGGAGTTTGTTCTCATCTGTCATCTCTGTGCCTATAGCCAGATCTGGGCGGAATCCGAAGAGCTGGGCACTGGGGTTGAGCTCCTGGAAAGGATTTTAGCCTGGGTACCCTTCATATGATGTTTCTTCCACCTAACTACAGTTTAAAAGCTACAGCGTGCCATCTAAATTAATCATTAAGAGTCCTTCTCTAATCAGTAGAGAAAGCAAGCACTTCTAGATAGTGATTCACCCATCTTGATTAAATACTTGTCTTTGTAAAGAAAGATGTTACCCCTGGAAGTATTTTCTGCTGACCAATAGAAGAAGCCTAGATAATAGCTTAATTGTGACTACTGTTTAGGTGGCTGCGGTTAACAGAGGTGAATGCCGTCCCATGTGTCTAATGCATAATAATCCCCAAGTGGGATAACTAATCGTACAGAAAAAAACCACCACCATTTGCAGCTAGAAAGACAGAAAAAATGCTATGTCTGCTATCTCAAGTCATGTGATTGTTTTTCTAGGACATCCTTCCAAGCCACCTGGTGAAGAAACAGCTGTGAGCTGTCTGAAGGGTGTGCCAGAGATCGTGCTTTCCAGGGATTCTACTTCTGTAGCGCCTGTTCAGACCTTTCCACTGAAACCGATAGAAGTTATGGCAAAGGACTGTAAGATCAACCCCCCTCTAAGATGTTAGTGGTGGCAGAGTCCTCCTGTATATTTCTGTAAGACCGTTAAGTGATGGCTAACAGAAGGTATTGCCAGTGGAGGCTTTCGACGGGGTCATTTGCAGACCAGCTGTTCTGCAGCACGAGGCAAGAGAGGCTTTAGCCAATCATATCACAACGAAGAGGAATAAAAATACAACATTTCACTGTGCACTGATACACTTTATTCAGGGCAGAAGTTTCAGCTTAAAAACATGAGCCAAGAAGTTACCGGTATTTGCGAAATGATCCTTTTTTACTCTCTTCCAATGCGTTTGTAAGTTGAATCAAACTGCTGGAGATAAAATGAGATACAAAGGCAGAAACTGAAAGCTCTCACTCACGTGTCACCATCCAGCTGTTACAAGAAGAAATCTAGGCTGTTCCTGTTCTTGTCTTGGTTGCCTCAGCATAGCCCCATTCCTTCCTGGGGAAATCTGTGATGGGAACTATTGCATTTTAGTAAGCAGACAGTATTGCAGCTCAATCGATGTCTCCAAGGGAGGACCTGGAGGCACTTGCACGTGGACTGAGAGATGCCCTGAACATTTCTGTGCTACAGGATTTAGCATAAAGGTTGCTCGAACCTTCTCCCTGTTCACACTTCAGGTTAACATACAGAGACAAATGCTGCCGTTTTGTTTCTCCGCGTTAGTGATGACCCCTCACCAAACAGAACAAACCCCAAACTATGGCCAATACCAACTGCATCCACTGGGTCTAGGTTTAAAAGTAAGTTGAATAAAACTTCAAGCCTTTACGTTCTTCCATGTCCAGTTCGCTGGAAGAGGAACAAACCAGGCTATTTAGTAAGCATGGTCAACTGAAAGGTGACCTGTTCTGGAATCTGACCTTTTAGCTCAGCTTCATGGGTGGGTTTGGCTCAAAGCATTCATTATGCCTGGGTTGCCAAATTCAAAGAAACAGGTGGAGTTAGACTACAAGATGTTTATTCGTGTTATGCTGGAATTCCTTTGCTCATGCCAGAGGCTCTACTTCAGAGGCCTTCAAAGTTAAAACTGCTACTCCATTCTTGCCTGAAATGTTTTGTTCTTACGTTTCTCTCCTGTCAATCAGAATTAGAGGAACCTGAAATGTCGTCCTTGTCTAAATACATAGCTAAAAGTGATTCTGTGTTTTGGGATGCTCAAAGCATCACTGCCTGCTACTGTTGTGTGAAAGATGGGCAAGAATGAGGAAAACACACTAGCACCCTTTGCAGAGACCCTTTGATAAGGGCCCTGTACAACCTACACGAGGAGAAGGGTCCAGTTCATGGATCTAACCGCAGTGGCAGAGCGTAAAGGACTACAATGGGGAAACAGCATTGGTAGAACCACCTAATCCATTTAAAAGGCATAAAGGAAGGAAACTAGGAAAAATCAGGGGACAGATGTTTTCCCTTCCTTTTTTTTTGTTGTGTGCAATAACAAGGTTTTTTTTTTATATTAGAGGGAAGTGTGCTCCACAGTATGGCCCGCAATCCATGTCCCCTGGCTGTCCTTGTATGGAGACCTCCTGGACCACACAGCAGTTTGCTTCTGGCCTGTGCTCTGGAGTTTAGTTCCCTTGGAAACCAAACACACAGCTACACTGTTACTAAAAGAAACAAGTATAATAACAATTATTCTTTAAATGGTACTGGACCATATAGTTTCATTTTATTGTTCGAAGAGGTATTATGTAACATATTTTTCTATTGTACATTTATCTACAGCAAACCTTATTTTCTAGGTTTTTATCATTATGTTAAAAAGCAGTATAAGATGAGAATGTCGACATCTCTTAAGTTTTATTCCAAACTTTTCCTCTCTAAACCAAAAATATTTTCATTCTCCTTTGTGATAAATCCCACTTATCATACTTGCATACACTTTTTTTTAAGCTAAATGCTGAAGGAATGATATTCCCAGTCTAGAGTCCAAAATATAATAAATAATACATAATTAAAAAATCTGGCATACTTATAATTTAAAAGAAAGGTATCACATGTCATTAAAACAGCATCTTACTCAGCTTTTATGACATTTTAGGAATTCTCTTTTCTCACCGTAGATTTGGGCAATGAACAGGGATCACCTGGTGTTCTGGAAGAAGTCGCTACCATTCTTTCAGCTGAAAGTTGAAGCATTGTCAGGAATGTCACAGGAAATTTTAAATGACACATCAGCAAATGGTATTAGATTCTGATGCTATCAAAGAAAGACTAAGTGGTAATTAGGGTTATTGGAGTGATGCCCAAACATGGTGTGAAATCTGTAGCACTCAAAGCAAACCGAGACCCCACTGGGAAATATTTTGGACAACACAACACAATATGCTGTTCTTGTCTTCTGTTGTAATCAATTTTGTTTGCTTGAAACTAATTTATTATGATTTACCAAGAGCAGGTGACTAGAAGGTTCTGAACAGAATATTCTGTTATTCCTTCGTCTAAAGTTCAAACAATGTGCTGTACATTTTACAAAACCCACAATTTTCTGTCTCGAAAAAAAACTCTAAAACAAATTAAGATTCAATAATGATGCCCTTCCCCTTTAATAAATATATATGGTTATGACTGATTTATACTACTAATCAGGTGTGGTGCAGATGTGGGAAGACTCCCAAATCTTTGTTCTTCTGTCTTAGCAGGCTCTTGGAAAGTGTCATCATTATTGCTTTTAACTCCAAAACTGAAAGTGCCCCAACAAAATACTGATAGATGTTTCCTTCTATAGTGCATACCGTATGAGACGATTTTCATTACCTAACATCAATTTTCACTCACTTTGAAAGACAGGAGGTCAGCAGGGATGCAGGCACTCCAGAAGAAGCTTGTGTAGAAAATTTTGTATACTACTGTCTTTTGAGGGTCAGCTTGGAGACCCGTGACAGCAAGAAGCTGAAAGATCTTCTTGGCTAAAACTGACAGTGTGAAAGCAAGTGGAAGTAGGCAGCAATATTTTCTTCCTAGGTAGCCACTGTTGAAATCTGCCATTTCCCTTTGTTTGCTGTTTTCAGCCAGCACTTTTGGCACTGAAGTAACAATAAGCTCATCCCATAGCTTTGTAAGAGCAATTGGATGCCACTGATACTTTCCATTTCAAAATAAGCAGGGAGGTTTTTACCCTTCTTTCTAATCTAGTTCAATCTTCTTCCATATTCCACAAAAGTTTCCTGAAGAGTTGTTCTTAAATTTCATTAAAACAAAACCAAAGTTGTTAATATTTCAGTCTCATTTTCCCATCCAAATTAGGCTGTGGACGAAGGATTTAAGGAAGGGTGTGCAAAATGATGAGGACTGTCGGTATTCCAAGTCAATTAGAGCAGTTAGTGCCTATTTAAGTGCTAATTTATGCTCTGTGCAATCTCATAGAGGGCAGAAATTTGGCTCAGGCTAGTTGGAAAACAAAATTTTATCCATTATACATGAAAACAACTACTGCTTTTATGCATACAAAACCTACTTTGTTTTAGACGAGTCAAGCACACTGTAAAACAAGGCTAAACTCTCATCCTGGTTTGGCTGGCTCCCTCTTACTGTTTCAAAAGTTTCACAAACATTCATTTTCCTGTATCCTCAGAAGTCACAGAACATGCTAAAGACAAGCTGTCTGGCAGCCAATTTTCCATGTTTCCTTCAAAGGGCAAACTTAACTGTCTTCTGCAATAGCAGATTTGAGAATCTATTGATGCTCACAGTATCTTTATTCCCTGCTTCACGGAATAAATAAAAATTGTAGCTAGAGCTGAATAAACCAGTAACTCGCGGCAACTATTTGAGCCAGGCTTTCAAAGGAGAGACTTTCCTAACTTCCCTGCATGCTACAGCAAACACAAACATCTTTCTTATCCATGCAGGAAACGTATCTTAAATCCCAAACAGAAGTAATGTTAATTTTGGAGACTTGACCTCCACAGAGACCTGTCAGTCATCTCTCACGTAGCACATGGGAATGTTCAAATTGCCACACCTGATTTGCATTCTTGTTACACGCACACAAAACCAAGTCCTTCTCATCTTCACTCTTCGTGGCCTCTATGCATTTGCCAGAAAGGACATGGACAATCATTCCATTCTACAAGATGAGAGAAGGGAAAGAAAGAACAAATTAAAAATAAGGGATTTCCAGTAAAAGCTAGGCCATGTTTCTGAAACTTTTTGCATACAACAGATCACCAGTAATGACTGGTTGTTCAATTTTTTTAAAGTATTGCTCTAAACATAATGACTAGGTTTAGCTTTGAGCCCAGGGCATGGTGAGTATTCACAATTCCTTTGGAAGCTGACAGGAGTGGTAGGTGCAGAACTCAATAAATCTCTTTTCCACCACTATTGGTTTCCTATGGACACAGGTTACCATCAGCATCAACTACAGTACTACAGGCCACAAAATTTCAAAAGGGCCAGTGCTCCCCTTAAGAATCAAAACAAATTCCAGTAGGAACCGTACCAGAGGACTGCAGAATCCATACAACTACGGCAACTGCTATTTTCCCAGGCCGTCATACAGCATAACATTTTTCAGTCTTGTAGAGGAGCGCCTGAATAATACCAAATTCCTCTAACAGGAAGTTTGCTCTTCTCTTACAACGCAGGAGGAATTTTAATGTTTCCCCTACTCCTAAAGGGTTATCCCAGATCCTTCCTCTATCTAAAAGAAGTGGGCAAGGATTTGCCCTGCTCTTATTTTCACAACCACTGATTCTGATTCTATTCCTATAAGGCCAGTAAGACAAACAGTTAAAACAAGGACATGTGAATTTAGGTAGGACTCCTGTAATTTGTATTTTTAAACCAAATTTATTTCACATAGACAGTGTAAATGGGCAAGAGGCATCCTAAATTTCCTGGGAGAAAATGGTACAGAAGCAAAACTTGCTCTTCAAATACCTCGTCCCTTCCCCACACACGAATTCTGTCAATCGCTAAGTCACTGTCAGCTGCCTTCACCTCATGGCAGAGTCACTACTGACCTCGTGGACATCCCAGTGCTGTTGGCTGTTGTCTGTCTCCTTTGTACAGTTTTGAGGGATAACCTTCCCGTGTCTGACATCAAAGCAAAACAGCGGAGCAGAACCAAGCCGGATTTCCTTCATGCTGTTATATTCAAAGTGCTGGAAAAGAGGGGGTTTGTTTGAACAATGATGGAAGGACATCCCGGTTCATTTTTAAATGCTAATTCCAAAAATAATTTCCTGTACATGTTTGTCAAGATGCAACCCAAACATGAGTGACGGACACCCAACAGCCTTGACCCTGCAAAGCAATCCTCCCCTAGCTAATTCTGGCATAACTATTTACCTAAGGAAAGGTTTTGTGGACTGTAATTATGTATAAAGTAAACCCATCCTATAATGAAATTTCCTGGTTTAATAAATATTTGAACAGAAGGCTGTTTCTGACAGTGTCTGCACATGTTGCAGTTAGAAATGTGCCTGCAGCTCACCCTGAACTCAGTGTGAGCAATAAAACTTGCTTGGGACTTGCAGTAAATGTCTGCAGTTGGTCCATATTGGTTTGCCTTCTCTTAATGCATGAACTTGCTAGTCTAATGCCAGCTTGGGAGTCTACGTGAATTTCCCTCCTGTATTTGCAGTTGTAGGCACTAACGGGGAAACCCATCCCCCTTATTCTAGAATTGTTATACATTTTTTACTCCCAGGCTTTCTGTTCTCCAGACACTACCAAATATACTAACAAATAGGCACTTAATGATGTCTGCTGGAGCAAAGTGTGGGTATCTGGCCTCACTGACAGATGGAACATTGCCGTTTTTCAAATGACACACAGCTGCAGAAAAGTGGGATTGCCTTAGCACATGCCTAAGTTTGAACACATCAGTATTTCGGCTAATGTCAACCCAGCCATTTACATGTTGGAGTGACTGTCTTCTGGATGGTTTCCTAGATCTGACACAATGCCTATATACTGAAAGTATACAGTACCTGGGTGAGACTGTCACTGCAAGGGGAGAGTTCGATAGAGCCTTCTGCAATGGCTCTTCCAGGTCTGTAATCTGCACAGAAGCCAACACCAGTATTGTAAAGCTGTAAGTAAAGGTTTATACTGAAATAAAGCACAATCAGATACAAACAAAATATCCTTCAGCTAACTCTTTTGTAATGGTATCTCTTTATGATATGTTTTTGCTCATAATTCAGGCAATATTTTTTTCTTTCAGACTTGATCTTGCATATTGATCTTGCAAAATGCTCTGATATAGAAGGCAGAGTCTCACCAAAGGTCACTGTTACTCAGTGAGTTTTGTTTAAGTTGGAGATAACCATGTGTGGTTTTAACTATTATGATAGTTAAAAGAAATCTGACAAAATTTTTATGCTAACGGAAAATTGCACTGCAACTGGACACTGTAGTCAGAAAAACCCTAAGATATTCCAGAAGAAGAAAACATGTGACAATTCCTATGATCCACACTCAGTTCTTATACACTTCTCAAGCAAACTTTGATAATAAAGAACAGACAAAATAGTAGAACGACACAGTAAAATCTGGTTAGAGATAGCAGAGCATGACTTAATTGGTGGACCTTGTTGCCTTGTTGGGGGAAAATCCCTTCCAGTAAGGCTGCCTGGAATCAATTCAAATTTAATGAATTATAATTATCCACTTATGTGTTTTAAAAGAAAACATTGAGAATATTGCCTTCTGTACACAGTCAGCCAAGGAACTGCTATTGCTACCACCCCAGCTCTGCCCTTGGGGGAAGTGCAGGACTGAAGAAATGCTTTTTTTCTCTTCATGTACACGGGTCAGCATAGAGATATCTCAGATGCTGTTGCAGTTGCCATCTGCATGAGGCAACACAATTCTTTTCCTTTACTAATGGCACCTAAAGAACCTACGGTTAGGATCCTCTGAGCTGTGACACTGAACTGAGTCAGACAATCTGGCTTCAGCTCCTGGCTGGATTTCAATGTTTATGTGAGAATTTGGACCAGCTGTTTGTCTCCTCTGTCCTTTTCTTTCTCCTCCCATCCTTGTTGCACTGTCTGTTTGTATAATAAACGTTTCAAAGCAGGAGCAGTCTCTTACTCTTGCTCACTGAGTACTTAGCACATGGAAGAAATACTGGGGGCTTTGAACAGTGCAAAACCACTAAGCATTCTTTATAGCGTGTTTTCTCTTACCTTGCCGGAGAATCTTGGTTTGTCTTCAGGTTGGGAGAGTTCAGGGTACACATTTGATACAAACCATTGGAAATTTCTACAGCCCAGTCTTTTCTGTAGCTGAAGGCGCTCACTGCAGTCTGGCTTCTCTGCCTTTATGGAGAAAGCATAGCGGCAACAAGGTTACTAGTGTATTTGTGTTAGAGATGACAGAAGTGAAAATGACAACACGGGAATTATTTCTACCGTCTCTTCTATCCTGCGTGTTACAGATACTGATATATATTTCTCATGAATATGCAAAGGAGGATCAGCCATAGCTTTCCTCTAACTTTGTGCTAAAACAGCATTTAGTCTGGCATTGTGATGGAAGTAAACGTTTCAGAAGTAGCAGACACTGTGAAAATAAGTATTTCCTCTGAAAATTATTATTATACTGCAAGGTAAGTCAGTCTTTGTCCTCCTTTTGGCCAAGTTTGATATTTGTTGCACTGAAATCAGTGGGACTGTATTAGATTGTCATTCAGTACAGAATTTGCCCTGCTGATTAAAATTCAGTTTCCTGGCCTTTAACAGCCCAAATTAACTAGTTATTGTCAGTTGTCTATGATCAGAGGATGTAAGTGATGACAGAATTTAGCCCAAAATTTAGTCTCTTCCGTTATTATCTGACAGTTACTAATCTAGTAAATGTGTTTTGCAGCTGTAAAGTCATAAAACCTTTCGTATGACTTACGTATTTTCTTATACACACAATATCAACTCTCACTCTTCCTGGTCACAACTCTGTTCTTCTGAAAAAAAGACAAGTGCATTTAACCCTTCCTGCAGCTATGGCCATCTGCACCGCAAAGGACTGACAGTATGAATATTTGAGGGTATTTAGCACTGAAGATGGCTAACAGGGTTCTGAAAACCTCTAAGGAGGTGTCTAATCCTTCAGTTGCAAAACCACACAAAACACTTTTCTAACTCGATCAGTGCCCAAATACTAAAAATATCTTACCACCCTTAAAAGTCTCTCTCCTCTTTCTTGCCAGCGGTAAATCTCCCCCTTCAAGTTTCTACTTTTTAAAAATGCAGTTTTGGATTCCAGGAAACTGGTCTGGATTCCTACGTCAGAAATTAAAATTGGTAACAGAAGAAAAGAATTGCCCATAAATAACTTTTCTTCAGACCAGCTATTTCTCTGCACCAAAAGACAGAAAAAAGGACTTTGTGACATGCCTGGAAAACACTGACAAATTAAGGGCCTTGGAGATCAATGGAGAGCTATCAGTTTCTAGAGGCAGGGATCGATGGTGCCATGTGGCACTGTTTGCCAGCCCCTGTAAGCTGCAAAGACAAACCTCAAAAGTTGCAATATGTTAAAGAGAACCTCTTAGTTTAGTATCAGTCTTAGATTCAATAAGCCTAACAACAAAGTTCAGCAATTCAACACCACACAAACCTGTCCCCAAGAGGTTTTCTTGGAAAAGGGAAATAAAGAAGTAAAATGTTTCCCCTAAAAAGAGATGCTTCTCATGAGACTCCGCTTTGGCTGAAGAAGGCAATAGCAGTAAATCTCATTTAGTTATACTAGTTACAGTCTGCATTTGATGCCGAATAAATATTGTAAATAACGTAAAGAAAGTCATTATCCCTGTAAAGCAATCTGAAAGGAAACTGTGCTTGTAAATTAAACAAACCAACCACACACACAAAAAAAAAAAAAAAAGGGAGAAAAAGAGATGGTGGCTGAGAGAGTAGAGAGCTGGGAAGAGCCTTATTCATCTGCGTTAACGCTCACACCACAGGCATTGCGGGCAGGATGCGATTCAGACCATAAAACGGGAAGATTTCTAAAGCAACCTAAACGGGGGTCACTGGTTATTTTCTGCAGCGGGCAATGTCGGCGGTCAAGGCTCGGGGAGATTTTTGTAGTGGCCAATAGGTGGCTCAGCTCACCCTCACAGTGCAATAAATCCCCGCAGGACCCCTCTGCAGCTGAGCGGCAATAATGTCATTGCTTGCTTGTGTCTTTTGAATAACATCCCGCTGCACTGACATACTGAAAATATTGGCTGTGAAAGAAAGGAACGGAGTAAAGGGCCTTTTATGTTATGGTATGCTGAGCACAGAAATCATAAAATTGATCATTTGAAGGAGCATCATACTTAGGAGTACTAGAAGTATTGTGGCTAGAAAAAACTCTCAGGCAAAAGGTCATGGTGCTTAGAGTTAGTAAACTGTATCTTTGATGGTTGTAGTTTTTAGTACAGAAAATTGCTTCTGAGTTGACAAGAAAGGCCTTCAGGAAATTATTAAATGATTTAAAGACCTAACTGCCCATCTTACAAGACTTGGCCTAGCATCCTCCTTGTAATTACAAGGCTGTAACCCTTGTGGTCAATTGACAAACTTCTGGCCAGTGGAGTTCAAACCTACAAGAGACAAGGAGGGAGAGCTTTTTTAAAAAGTGAAAATAGAATTAAAAAAAAGGAACGTGATAGCCTCAGATTCTAGGATTAGCATAGGAGGCTGACTGGAGGGACAGATCCACTCATGGAGTGTAAGGAGGTCAGACTATGTGACCGGAGAGAAGCCACATTGACGCACAACACTTTTTTTCTCCCCAATACAATGCAGCTCCTGCTGGAGCTGGCTTTCTTAGACAATGGCCAGCACTGCAATGACTGAGGCATGCAGGACCGAAATGCAAGAGCAAAACGGAATGGGAAACTTTGCACAGCACCTACTCATGCTCTGCCTAACTGTTTTCAGTGAATCTTTTTTTTCTTAAAAGCATGACATTGGTAAATGCACAAGAAGATGAACAACATGTTTTCATTCACAAGTACTAACAAATTTGTCCACTGCCTTGTAGGAGAGGATACCATTACAAGAAAGGGTATTGGAGCCAGAGAATTCCTGAGAACTGCAGCAACATTAACAACTTCACGTTATTAACAAGTTAACATTAACCACATTAACCACAGCTGCATGACTCCCAATAAACAAACATCCACTGGTTTGTAATACATGGGATATACAGTCCCTTGACTGATCCTGATCTGCAATGGATCATACAGTGGCTTAAAAACAAGTGTAGCCATTCTGTAGTTTTTGGATGGTGTGTAGCCTGCAGAGGATTCAAGTGTGGCTGCATGCCAGGGCCACACCACACACCTGGCTGCAAGCCTGTCTTAGCACACAGGCTGCTGGGAATCCAAATTCCTGGAGGTTGGACTGCTGCCTGTGTGATGCTTCTAATGAAAAAGTAACTTGTAAATAGTGGCTATGTTGAGGTCTGACTTTCTCAGTTACAGACAGCTGCTTCTGGACATCTGTCAATTCAGGAAAAAAATCACCTTTTTGTCACTAGACCACTCAGATATGTTCCCTTCCAGTAGGAGAAACACCACAGTTTGCCCCGTGCCCATGAATATTACTGAATATCTGCATGAATCATATGAGGAAGACCTGCAGTAAAGAAGAATGAATCCTCTAGGAGAGACCTCTGAGCACACAGTGCTACTGACTTCCACTTCACATGCGCTGCAACAGCCCACATACTATTGGTGGAAAAATAAATCACAGCTTGTTGAGCAAGCTGAAGAAGGAGTCATTTCAGAAGGAGTCATACTCTAAGAGATTTGGTAACTTCAGCAAACACCACCTAGGCACAAGTTTCTCTCCTTCCAGATCTGACAGCTCTTCCACTGGAAGGTTTCATAAACAGACTATTCCCCACCACCATGCACGTTGAATGTTTGACTGCACATAGACACCACCACCCCTATTCCACCCCCTTCACCTACCTCAACACGCACTCCTTCCCTCAGGAACAAACCCCTACAGATGTCTTTACCTTGCTGATCAAGAAAGCCACTGTATCGTGCTTGTAGAAGTTCTCCTTAAAAGTGCCCAGCCAGGTCTCTGCTATTCGGATTTTGTTCCTCACAATGGCCTCTTCATAGGACAAAGCACGGGGAAAGTGGTTTCGATAGACATGCCCAACTCGGGAACATGGAATAATTTCTACAGAGCCACCACAGAGCCAAGTCTGAAACACAGGTGAAGGCACAAAAAGAGATTACCTTATTTAGATTACCTTTCTCTAAAAAGCAGAAGCTTCTTTACTATAGACTCTGCCTCAGGAAATCCTAATCTGCACAATGCTGGAAACAGCAAGAGCATTACTATATGCTTCTCCATACACTGTTCCCCGCAGATACAGAGACACAGAGACGATGCTGGGCAACACAGACCTTTGATTTGACCCAGTATGGCTATTTATATGCTTTTATGTTTTTCTGTGCACAAACAGTGCAGTGTAGTGAAGAGGCCCAGGGGCACACCTTCGTTTGTCTGGAACATTAAAGACTATAACCTTTGTGTCTGCAATTTTCATTGCTTTTTAATATCAGTTGCTCTTTGTATTCAGCAAAAAATCAATGCAAACAATTTAATATAAACAGTTTGGTATTAAAACTACAGACTGGCAAAGAAATAAAGGTACTCTCCCTTTGGTGCACGTTATAGGCCAAAAAAGAAGAGGCAGCTTTCAGAAGGTGCCAAAACCAGTGACTCTGTCCTCAGGCAGATAGTGATAGCCAGTGAAACTTCCTTCTCCTGACATAATGCTCCTAACTCACAGCAGCTCCATGTTCTTGTATAGTCCTGACAGATCACGGAGTGTGGGGATAGATATCTGAGAAGAAAGTTATATTCTCCATACCCCAAGACATTCTGCACTTAACTGCTTTTATAGATTGCATTTCACCTTTTCATTCACAGAATCACAGAATGGTCAGGGTTGGAAGGGACCTCTGGAGATCATCTAGTCCAACCCCCCATTCAGGTTCCTTAAAAGCCCAATAGCTGCCAGAGCTTTAAGTTTCTTACCCTTATAGATAGCTCCAGATTTTCTGCTCCCCATATGGTCATGTCAGAATCATAAGCTCCAGTGTTTTGGAAGTAATGTCGATCCATGGCCACCACTGCACCAGCTACCACAGGACTCCTGTGTAGAAAGTTTGGAAGTGAACACCTTCAGTTTTGGATAGGGAATTATGTGAAGGACAAAAATCCTGCCATTTCCATAGAGATATTATTACAAAATGATTGAATACTACTCCATATAAGCTTGAATGAATTGATTATCTGATCAAAAGAAAGAACAACTGGAACTGAATTCCAGGATTTGCTTGGGGAAGGGAGTGAAGAACTGAATTATTAAATAAAGCTCAGAACAGTGGGAAATGTTACATACATGTACGCCCAAAACAACAAACAGATAATGATTA